AAAAGGGCACGCAATAAAATGATCACTTTTCCAGTGGGTGGTAATTCAAGAGTTTCTCGATCAGGTCCACATGCGAAAGTAGCATACGTCGGCAGCAATAACGGCGAAGATTTAACGCATCCAGGGCATCACCTAAATACACTTATCAGAGTGAATCTAACGGAAAATCAATATGTATTCTCATCAAGTCAGCTATGAAACGACGAAAATTTACCTTCAGTGTACTCCGCTTGTAACAGACCAAGATAAGCCTCCCACTTGTTGCCGATTACCTTCCCACAAGTGAAACAGCGAATTGGAATAATCATTCTGAATGTTGCATTGAATATCAGGAGGATTCAATCCAGAACTGGAACAATTATAGGAAGTAATATTGCGGCAACTAACGCAGTTCATTGGTAACTCGAAGAAGAGCGGAAACTTTTATCCACAATACTTTCCGATTGAAACTTCAAAATCATTACAACCTAGTATATCAAATAGTTCAAAATGATCTAAGAATAGCAAGCAGTATATCAAAAAATGACTTGAACTACGAAGGCCGACATGAGAGATGTTCTCGTGAAAAAAGACATCAAAGTCAATAGAGAATGGAAGGAAAACGTTGACGATCACAGAAAATTACCAGTACTGACATACAGAAAATGTCTCCAATTCATGTATAAGAATACCGTAAGTTTGAAGTGATAATATGAATGGGGATAAACTATTGAGAAAACTCATTCCAACTAGTATAAAACGATATCAATCATGTTTTGGTACCAAGCCTTTCAACGAAGTATCAGTCTTTGCTTCATCGATATGTAAGATGTTATGTTGGTCTCTGATAACATCACCCCAAAGATAAGGACATCCACAGCTGAAATATGGTACATTTTGAACAGTAATCTTTAGACCACTCTAAATCCAGATTACATGAGGTAGCCGTTTGATAGTTTACGACTTGCGAGCTTATGAATAAATCTGCAAGCAAACGCGCGCTGAATACCTAAAAGTAGTAAGATACCTTGGACAATCCCCATCCAGCGGATAAAGCTGACAACGTTCTTCGCCAAGACCATGGGTTG